GGGACATGAGGGAAACACCCAGATCAGGTGGGACACGAGGGAAACACCCAGATCAGGTGGGACACGAGGGAAACACCCAGATCAGGCGGGACACGAGGGAAACACCCAGATCAGGTGGGACACGAGGGAAACACCCAGATCAGGTGGGACACGAGGGAAACACCCAGATCAGGTGGGACACGAGGGAAACACCCAGATCAGGCGGGACACGAGGGAAACACCCAGATCAGGCGGGACACGAGGGAAACACCCAGATCAGGGGGACACGAGGGAAACACCCAGATCAGGCGGACACGAGGGAAACACCCAGATCAGGCGGGACACGAGGGAAACACCCAGATCAGGTGGGACACGAGGGAAACACCCAGATCAGGCGGGACACGAGGGAAACACCCAGATCAGGTGGGACACGAGGGAAACACCCAGATCAGGTGGGACACGAGGGAAACACCCAGATCAGGTGGGACACGAGGGAAACACCCAGATCAGGCGGGACACGAGGGAAACACCCAGATCAGGTAGGCTCTCACAGTCTTTGCACTCATGATGATACAGTAGTATAATCCTACAGTTGTTGCAGATATAGCTCATCAGTTTGCTACTTGCATTCCACATTTTGTATCTACTAACATGCCTTATTAGTGATGCAGGATCAAGAATTATTCTACGGAGTATGAACCGGCACGAGGCAAAAGGTTTTTTCACCACGGAGCCTATTGGTGCATCAGCCAGTCAGTCAATGAAAGGTGTGATGGAAAGCACAACATTCCCTCTCAGTTGGTGGTGGTACAAGGACGACTGAGAGTGAATTGAGTGAATGAATGGAGGCACTAAAAACACTGCAACCCTAAGACAAAGCACCTCTACCACAACACCATTAGAGAAAGAACACTGCGTCTATAGGGTACAAGTCATGCTATGCACCAAGTATGGATTTGGAGCATATGTGCAATAAAGCCACAGATCCATCAGAGATCCTGAACCACGGTTGCCATGCCAGTAGAACCATGGCTACCAGTTAGTATACAAGAGGTGGACATGCACATGTACAACGTATATAGTACCTCTGATCTCTCTTTGTAAGTGTCCAGCTCCAGAATGCCATCGTTGGTGAGGGTCTTGGTCTCAAGGAGTGTCTTCATCTCCGCGAGGTGCTTGAAATGAACTGACATGTCTGTAGCCAACACCTGCCAGTGTAACACACACAAAATTAGCGATGAGTCCCTTTGACCCTACTACCTTGCATGCTGTATTTTATACAGTGCAGGACTGCATGCATGTGAGCTGCCAGGTACACGGAGTCCACAATACAATATGATATCCCTAAGCAACCGGCATGTATGAAGTACACACTGAACTACACCAGAGCAATGCCTGCAAAAACTCGATACAAAACTCGCAACATACAAATGCATATTTTCTTATTTTGATGTGCACTCGGCAGCTCTGAGTCTACCATTGAGTGGCAGGACCAAAGACACGTCATACATAATAAGTACAGTACATCACACGTATTATTAGAGCGGCAGACATACCATGTCAATGACCATTTTCGAAAGGCCTTGGTTTGCTCTTTGTCCAGCTGTTCCAGGAAGTTACAACCAGGCTCCTGTGCCAGACACAGAACATTATATACTCTCTCTCTCTCTCTCACACACACACTACTCTCTAATAATATGAAGATGTAGTTAGCTGACTCTGCTAACAAACTTTGGGAAGACTTTCTCACATATAGTTTACCAACTGTCGTCAAATACTCTATCACTATAACAAGTTTCACCATGGTCCGTCTGCTGGCGAACCAGATGGTAGGCCCTATAAATATCTAATTAGAAAACTCGCACTGGCCAGGAATCTAACGCCCTGTACCTACCTAGCACCCAGAGAGTTATAATGCTTACTGCTTGCCCATAATATATAACTTGTTGTAACACACGCACAATATTGTACATGTGGTAAGCCAGGCGAAGCGCAAACGGGATTAAGGCCTTACCAACAATAACTATTGCCTCCGTTCAATAACAAAGTCATTCAGGAAAAGGCCGTATGCTTTGTGCCCAAAATAACAGAGGTCTGGAATACGTAACATGAGGGCAAACACCCGAAAACAAAACATATGATTCTGTCACATTATGCAGTATCTTAATTATGTACAATGTATATGTAGTGGGCGGATGATAATTACAGGGTTATCCTCACCGCCAGAGTCTGGAAGGCGACGGCGAGATGGTGGTTCTCGAGTACTGAGTTATCATTGTAGAGGAGAGCCAGTTGGTTGTTGGTCTCAATGAGGAACTGGTTGGAGCGACCGGGGTGGTCCACATCATGGACCGCCGCGGCCACCAGGGCCGCCAGCATCTCTAGCTTAGAGAAAACCGTCTGGGGCAGAGGAGAGGGGAGGGAGAAAGTGGGGAAGGGAGGGGAGGTACAGTAAGAGAAATGGAGGAGATGCATAAACCACTAAAGCTAGGGTGTTTTGAAGTGTGTCATAGTGAGAAGTCTCGATCCATGACAGAGAATTTCACACACTCTGTAACTTGATCTGCAATGGAATAGCGTACATACATAATAATATGATAGTCACCTCTAGAGGTTTGGCCTTGAGGAGAGTGTCAGTGGTCAGTAGGACGTCTGCTGCATGTATGTGGTTGTGGTAGGGGTTAGTGCTGCGGTAGCGATTCTGTGGAGAGAAGGGGAGGGGGAGGGAGGGAGGGAGGGAGGGAGGGAGACAGCAGTTATGTATACGAGATTCCATATATTAACCCAACCCACTCTACAAGCTGTGAACACCGTAATGCTACGGTGAACAGTGTGTATCATGACGAAGATGTAGCATTCAGTGTGTCATGCTTGCAGATTTACAAATAATGGAGTACCGTGTAATCAAACAAGACAAGCAAGCAACATTCACACACTACCATATCTTATGTATGTATGTATGCATGTACACATACAGTACCTGTATGGCGAGAATGAAGTTGATGAAAGTGGGAGGAGAGATTTTGAAGAGGCATGAGAACTGTCTTGTCTTGAAGATGTTGTAAGCTGCACAAACCAGTGAGTTGCCAGCCGAGATAATGTCCAGTCTGAATACATCTGGACTCCACAGCCCCACCTCCTCCTGCATAAACTGCATAGACACACACATTCCAGTCATTCCAGAGTGTACACTACAGGACTCCAATGCATCAGTGTGGTAGAGACAGCATTTTAATACACGTGCACTTTAGGTCTATACTCTCCACAACGCAGCCCGTGTGCCACGTATGGGGAGTATTGTCACACACGAACAAATACTTAAGACCTAAAAGAAATAGATTAAGATGAAAAGGGGGCGGGGCAAATCTTTGTAACTCGTGGGTGGGGTTGAGATTGATCTGTGACCTGAATCATCAACAACAAATTTGTTCAACTGTGTGTGACGTCTGGGTCGAATAACCAACTGCCTGTCAAATATACTATGACAGTAGTTCGATCATCATTAGCAATTATTGTGCTAGACCACTCTAGGCCCAGGTTCAAATACATTATACCAGTGTGTGTGTGATCAATGCATGTACGCACCTTCCTCATCTGGGGAGCATTCATCTTTGAATTTGTTACTCCAAACCTGTACCAGGAATTGCACACGTCTGTATGTATGGCACAGCAACAGTCAAATATGTGTATATATAATGGTAGTCGTTAGAATAAAGGCGCCGATGTCGTGCACGTAAATTTTGTGCACCAGTTTATTGGAGTTAAGTCGTATACGTACATGTGCCACGCATCACGTGGTGAAAATCTTCCACGCTTCTCCCTCCTTATGGATCACACACACACACATGTACATTGTGCAGGAGGAGGGTTATGAGGCCTTTGTGAGCGAGGCTAGTGGAAGCACATTATAAACGCACAGTGCACAGAGAGTGGGGGTGGTGGGTGGAGGTGTATACTAACGTGGGTACTGTCTCGCTGTCTTCACTGAGGAGCTGTATCTGTGTCCCGGTGCTGGAGCGGACCATGGCCCTCTTCCTCCAGACGTCGTGAGACATGGAGGCTGAGAGTCGAGGTGGCTGCATGTCCGTCTTTCCTCCCGTGTCCTGACTCAGAGCCCTGTCCACCTGCTGGTTCCTCTCTGGGGTGGGGTGGGTAGCTCATTACAACACCAAACAGGACTAGATACATAGACCCAGGCAGCAGAACATATCATCAATGAACTAGTGAAGAATGGTGCACAACTAGAATATTATTCACAAAACAGGACTACATACAGATATAGCTTGTCATACACAGACCCAAGCAGCAGCAAAAATCATCAACGAACTATTGAAGAATGGTGCGCAATTAATATTATACTGTACACATTTACACACAGCACATATGTATATAGCTAATGAGATCCACAGCATTCATGGTAAGTCTACCTCTGCCAGAAACATATGCATAATATTATGTTAGTGATCTATTTGGCACTACCGGTGTGTCATGTGTGTGTAATGATACGATATACGCGTGATGAGATCATTTCTATGAGAATGGTACACACCCAGCCTAAGTAGGTAATCAAAAGGCAATAAACATGGAGGAGCAGACGTGAAACTGCACATACACATAGTGATATCCCAAAATTAAATCGGTAAACACAGAGTCAACGTCACATTGTGTATCACTACGGGCCACAAATTTGATATCCAAACATTCCTGATTGGCCGGAACACTTTCGGTGTATGTGTAACCAAGACACAAGCCATAATATAATGACTTCCAGTTATTCCCTCCAGTATACACAAACGAATTTCGCAGTCGTGGAAGAAGGTGTGTGTCCCCTCACCGTTGGTGGACCTTGTGATGTCCTGGACCCACTCTGCCAGCTGGTGACCACTCTTGCTGTGCTCTGACATGTTGGAGAGCTTGCTGGACAGGAGTCTGTGGAACTTGTCCTGGGCCAGTTGTCCTCCCATTGCCTTGGCCGAGTCCACTCCCTCCAGCTGCTGTAGACACCAGTCTATCTGCTCTAGAGTGCCCACCGCATGCTGTAGAGAGGGATGGGGGGTGGGAGAGAGGGAAAGAGGTGTAGTTTATCTGGAAATTATGAAAGGCAGTTCAAATACACTATTGCACATCAGTATCTACTTGTACAGTGCTGCATGTGCAGGAATTTAGGACACATGCATGCACCTCTCTTTGTATTTCTTTCTCTATTCAGTGATGTTATGTAATGGGTTGAAATGCTCATGTCCTAACCATCATGTGTGTCGCTCAAAACTACAGTACGTCACAAACTTTTGAAAGTTCAGGATAGTGGAGCTACATGAGTTTCATGAGTGCATGAGCGCTGGCATATATACAACACAGGCTGCTTACTTCAGATTGCATCTCGGTCTTGCTCCCAATCTCATGCAAGTACGTAGGGATGGCTACAGGAACACTGTTTGGTATGGTCTCAGTTAAAGTGAGCAGCATACCCTTCATTAGCCACTCAATATTGACAATTATTGACTCTACACTATCAATTACTGTTTCCACAACTACAGTGCAGCAGTATGTAGTATATACAGTAGCTGAGGAGTAATTTGGCCGGAATTTGTGTATCTATTTCGACGTCATGCACCACAACACAAGGCAAACACTAAGAGATGAGGTGTACATGAAACATGATCCCAGTGACCCACACGGGGTGAGCAGCTCCATGTGTCAACTATACTATGTTGCCAAGTCATGTAGGGTTATGTCACACACTATTAAAAAAAGCATAACTTTCTCTATATTATTAACCTTTATGCACATTATACGTAAGAATGTCTTTGGTCAGAAAAGTAGAGGCACAAAACTAGCAAAAACGCTTGGTAGGTATTTGTACATACCTGTCTGATGGCGTCTAGGGAGAGTTTCCTGTCGAAAGGAGTGAGGGGAGGTTTTCTGGAGAGGGGGTTAGGGGTGAGGGGTTTGTGGTGAAAGTGTCGATGTGTGTCCTCCGGTAGGTTCATGAGGTGGATGAAACTCTGTCGCACCTTGTGCATTGTGGCCAAGATCTGAGGGGCAGTAACACAGCAAGCTCTATTGTACATCCGATATGATGTTCACCTGAAATGTTATTGTTATTCCTTTAAATAAACCTGTAACCAGCTTTTTTAAGGGTTAACATACTATAATGTGCCAAAACTGTGCCCCATGTAAAACCAACCTGGTTACCTACAACGTGCATACTCTATAATGTACTACTAGGTAAGTATATACCTGTGCAAATGGAGTGACAAAAGTTTCCTCCATATGGCTGTGGGATGAGGGAGGGTGTAGTAATAAAATTAATACTAGTTAAACAGGATGTTACACCTAGTTAAGGTAGGGAGTCAGGAAGGAATACATTTCAGCATATGTAGTATAGGGGCATGGGGGTGTCGCCTGGCAAGATGTCGATATTGGTGTGTGAAATCATGGCAGGCCAACGCAAGCAGGCATTGCTGGTTGGGGTCACTAATGCTGTAGCCAGGCAGTTAGGGGGGCTCTCCCATCGTGTCTGGCTCATCCAAACATAGAATAGGCGAGCGTGAGTTAATGTTTCAGCTGGTGAAATACGAACTGTTTAGTCGGGAGAATAAGTTAATGAACCGTCAAACATAAACAAACTGTTCCGGGTAAAATTAAAAGCACTGAAGTGCAAACCCTCGGCGAACTGCGCACGCGCGATACCCCTAATTGATGGGCTGGGCTATAGTATGCCTTTACTCGTGGTCTCCCGCTAGAGTAGCTCGTGGAGAGTCTGACACGGGCTAGCTACAGTAGTAGGTAGCATGCAGGAGTCGATACACGTTGTTGGTTGCGACTTATTGTGCCTTCAACATCCACAGAACAAGCGCACCCGGTCGAGTGTGTGCCAATTAGCATATTGGCTTGTTCACTTGGTTTTCACGCCATAACTTCTGAACGCAGCAGTTATACGAAAATCACCTTTTTTAAAAATAAAGGCAGTGTAGCGCTGAACCCGTTGGTGTTGCTTTTTTACCTGTTTTGTTGCACGTGGTGGCAGAAAACGTGGTAACAGACGGACAGACAGACCAAGTACTGTAACCCTCACTGCGCATGCACACCGAGGGTTAAATACAGTGAGGCAATTTCTACGGGGGGGGAAACTACGTAGGCATTGCACATCCTTTAATTGAATAGTCACACGCCACTTCCCAGTTTGTACACTATAGTAAAGCACCCTGAACCAACTTCCTGCAGAGACATACTGTAGCTCTTCTAAATACTCCTCTCACTTACATACATAGTAGCCCTATACCCCTGTATATAACACAGTCACTACACACCTGTATGATGGTAGTGGCAGGGGGAGGATTATGTGTTACCTGGACAAGGAGGAAGCGGGAAGTGCAGTGTCGTCATCAGTTTCATAGAGGAAGGAGTTACGGCGACCTGCGGCACCCAGCCTCCTGTTGAACAGAACACAGTCTCAGAGTGTGAACATCATATGTATATAGATGATGCAAGAGTAGAGGGCAGAGGAGTCACACTGACCTTTCTATGGTGCATTACAGGGCAGACAGACTAATCTGGTATAACGGATGTCCTACACAGAGGGGTCAGGGTACACTCTAGGGTGGGTCCCCTCGTTATGTATATGAATAATGACATGAAATGCACCCAAGTGTATGTAACTCAGTACTGGCTGAGCCTATATAGAAAGTCTGAAGTGCTATAGTCAGTGAGCCTATTCAGAGGTGGAAGAAACTTTGATGCACAAACAGGATGTTAGGAGGTGCACTAGCAAGGCTCCACTAGGTCCACATAATATATGTTCCTCCTCGAAAATTAGGCTTCTAAAATGCATTCTGGCATACACGTTACGGTAGTTAAGTTAATACACTGGGCATCCAGTACAAATAGACTCATATATGTATACAACTGACTTGGCGGCAGTTGAGGGAGAGGAGATTGGAGGAGTGGAGTCCTCAGGACTGGCTTTGCCAAACAGGTCTGGAGTAGAGGAAGACTGTCTGGCTGGAGACAGGCCGTCAGGGAAGCTGAACTGGCTCTCTGGGTGGTCGGGCCCAGCCACTGGCGTAGTGTGGACACTGAGATACAGAGAACGAGGCCGGTACATTGCATGTCGCTCTCTCTCTCTCTCTAACTGCCGAAAATGAAGTCAACGGCGTTTACTTGCCAGTATATACACCCGGTGCGCCCCTTTGCATGCAGTGCAGAAAACTATGTACAAACCGGCTATCATAGCAGAGGACTGTCCACGTTCTGTGTTGAGACACGTCGCTGTGGGTGTGTACTTGAAAACTCAAGGTAAACAGAAAGTACACAGATTCTGTGGGTGTTTTGTACACACTGAAGGCGTTTACTTTCTCAACGTCACGTTTTACAGCCTTGCGTACATGACCTTTTCGTTATCTAAAATCCGAAACACTATCCGTGCGCACCCCACCGGCTGTACTCACGCCACTAAGTCATAAGAGTAACGTACTGGGAGCATACACACACATGTCATTGTATACATTCCATGCAGCCATTTACACTGCAGAAACCCGTGACTATGTGTAGCACGGCTGAGGCTGCACATATATATCTTGTGACGCTGTATGACAGTGTGGCTATATACATACCAACTATTGTCTGCGCTCACGTACTATAACGATGTGCTGCACTATGGAGTTGGGCTTGGGAATTGAATTTTTATGCTGGTGCTATGAATGCTGTACCATTGTAACAAGAAATGAATATCGTTCAACAAAAAGATATTTATAGCAGCTATAAGTACTACATTGTACGTATATGTTTCGGGGTCATGCTTGGTGGATGAGGTAAGCTGATCCTGTGACGTGCTAGCAATCAGTAACTTAAGACAGTAGCCCTCAGCCAAAGCAAATCCACAGGGAGTGGATTCTGATTAGCATGTGTATGTAATGTATGGAGAGGAAGGATGGGGGTGAGGTGCAGGAAGAGGGGTTGTCCTACACAGACTGGAATGACTGCTATGCCACCTGTCAACATTGAATGGTGAAAGAGCCAGCAAAATATCCGTAGGATGCACTCCAGCTACACTTTCTGTCAAAGTATCTCCAGCTACCGGCAGTACACCTTTGATAGGTAGTTTCATGCCCGTACCCCACATTGAGGAGAGGGTGAATATGGAGTCTTGTGTTGACTGGGAAGTCTTACTTTTGACCGATTACCAACTTGAGATTAGGACATTTCGTAGAGCCCGGACAACTGTGTGCATCTACTGGGCATTCCCTCCATACTCAGGAGTCCAAACAATCAAGACAACCCCCTCCAGAGAGTGAGGCATGTGCAGAAGACTCTGCAGCCATAGCCTATTCCAGCTATGAGCTCTCCCAGCTACCGTACATAGCCCACAGTCTTCACACAATATGCACAGTGAAGTACGTTAAAAGCATGGTGTATGCACAATAAGGACAGTCTTACCCTGTGTCATTGCCACTTCCAGTCCCGTTGTTCTCGTTCAGAATGCTCAGTCTATAGGGAGCGGTGGGCGTCCGGCGAAGTTTGATGTAGAGACTTGACCTCTGCTTGGCGTGGCGATTGAACCCTCCGCCCCCTCCCCCTCCGACAGTGGACCCCATGTTGTTGGAGTAACTCCGCTGTCGACACTCTGGGGAGGAGGAGCTGTGTCTGAGGTCCACGCCTGTCGTAGCCTCCACCTCTCCTGCCATCTGCTGGAGAGTTGTCGACTTGTGACGTGGGACCTGATGAGCAGTTCAGGGTGGAACAGGAGACGATATATAAAGTACAAGTGGGGATGGCACTCAGTAATATACTTGTAAAAATAGACAAATTTTCGGATTATGTTAAGGGTCTTGGCCAAATGTGTGCACTCAAAAAGAAGGCTGATTATCACGCATGTCTGAATAATAACCTCAGAGTTACCCATAACGTTTCATTTGTACACGTCTGTACAGTGAGGTGCGTGTCTGTGTGATTGAAGTTCACGGAATAATCCAAACTTGGCCACCCCAGCGCAGGCATGAATTAGGAACTAGTTACCCAAAACTCTTGGCAAATTAGAGAGAGCATCAAGGTCATTCTACGTCACCAACAGTCATTGGCAAACAGCACCCAGTGTTTGCCTTATATACACACAAGCTTTTTGTAAGCTCCATTAACAGAATAAACACAGGCCCACAGTGTTGACCATCTTCTCGGAAATAATGGATCACAAACTAGTTTTACAACACAAGTATACACATTGAGGCTTGTTGTTCTGTGTGTGTGTGTCTACTAACACTCCACCAACAGCTGTGCAATCTGTAGAAGGGGTGGGAGTCCGTGAGAGGGAGTTAGAGCTACATGTTCCGCTTTGTGCTCCTACATTATTTTTTGGTAGCTTGCTAGTCTGTTGTGTAGTGTGACGACATGTATGGACAGCACATGCCATGCAATAAACGTTAGGCCAACCAGAAAGGACTTCTTAGACAAAGATAACTTCACACACATGTGTCCAAGTGCTAAACATCAGAGAGAGACTGAAAGTAAACAGTGGCAGGAGCTTCACTTCCTTGTGGGATTCGACATTTTTAGCGTCAATTTTGTAGAATAGGTGGTATAATACACGTGACAGGTTTATATTCAAAACTTCTGCACCCATAGAGACAGACATTTCTGCCACATTTGAAAATTTTCAGTGAAAAGTGTGGCTTCAGTCAGGTATATATCACAAGCCACAAGCCACAAGCCACAAGCCACAAGCCACACTATAATATATAGATTCCAGTCCTGGGCACATTGCTGCCTAGCAAAACATTATGCTTGCATCAGCTAATACATGCACATAGGTGGAGTACACATACAATATGGACACCAATTCTCAGAACTACAGCAAGCAGTCTGGGTCATATCTCATGTTCTACTGGTGGAAGGAGGTGTGATATACAACTCACCACTGTGATGCAGGTGACTGGACTAAGAGCCACCTCACCACCATTCCTGCTGTTCTGAGAGTGTGTGGAGCTACTGGAGCTAAGCCGGCAGAGCATCTCCTGTTCAGACTCAGCTTTCAATATCTCACTTGTACGCACAACTGAGGCCGACAAGGCACGTATGGCTATTGCTGCGTAAGGCACAACTGAGGCCAACAGGGCACGTATGGCTGCGTAAGGCACAACTGAACAGTGCAGCAGTGGATATGGTGACTATATACATCTCAGGGGAGTAGACTCCACTTTTCGGTATACAGGCATACTGCTTTGCGCAGCCTGGCCATATCAGGGTCTAATGGGGGGGAGTAAACTTAAGCTACTTGATACCCACATGATATTCTATAGCCAGTTACTGGAAGGCTGACTCGTTTACACAAGCGCGCTGCCACATTCCCTGTGCGTGACAGAGCCTGGCGCTCACAACTTCCACCCGGGGCTGCCCGCATACACACACGGCGTCTTTTCTCGCCACCTACCCGCCCCCCAGAACGAACTAGCCCTGACCTTAGCAGCCTGTGCCATGACTTCTTGACGCACGGGAAGACGGTTACAATGATCGTGGCGAGGGTACTTGCTCCAACGTCTTTCTTCCTCCTCGCCGTCGGGCAGGAGCTCGATCGATAGTTTAGGAAGCCCCGTGGGCAGGTCTATCTCGATTTCCGTAGTCATAATTGCCCCTACAAATTCGGGTCTTTTGTGTTGACTTGCGGGGATGACGTATGATGACGACCGAGGAGTCTTCGGTTTGTTGATGTGCAAGTTTTTTCCCAGTTGGATGGTAAGGATCGCCTTCAGCCTGTCAAAACTGCTATATAGACCATGGAGGTGCTGTGGAAACGATCTACCAACTCGAATACTTCCGACAAACAAACCAGGCGCCGACGAAAACACGCGGTCCGAGAACAGTGACGTTATCGCTCAGCAAACAAACAACCTTAGTTCAGGGATGCTCTGCGGAAATCTGCGGATTCTGCTATCCCTGGGCGTAGAGCGACTCTCATCCTGCTATTCAGGCCATCTTCGCCACCTATTCGCTGCACACAACCGACTCAGCCTAGGCCTGACAAGAAGACTGTCGTCGTGTGTCTTCTCGCGTCGTCACACTTTACGTCATAAATACGCGCGCATCTACGTACGCCGCATGCATTCCTCTAACGTGTGACATGCGCATTAGGAGCACGATTGCACAGGGGGCGCCGGGGCTCACCCATTTGAATTAACGAAGTCCCTCTGCAACGTGTTCGTTTCGTGAAGCGATGGCCACCAGCTCGGTGGGGAACAGGGGCCCCGGGCAGGCAGATATGGTGGCACAAGTGGAAAGGGTGAGAGGTGGCGTCGGATAAATTATTCTCAGAGGAATACTACGGGCTGCTTGTATGCTGCCTCATAAACAGTTTACATCGTGTAGGTTGTCAAGCCATAAACTTGGCAGAATTGCGATGTGTGTGGTAGACGGTTGCCTAGCAAGGGCTACCTTGAGTTTGAAAGCTGAAGTGGTTGCATTGGACCACTAGCATGATTATAGGGAGTACGTTTCTCCTAATTTGTCTGGTTCCAGATATATATGAAGTACTGTAGTGGATAGAAGAGATTGAGAGAGAGAGAACTAAGTGGAGCACAAGAAAGAGGGAGGTAGAACGGGATGAGAGAAAGAGATATTGTCATGAAGCGAATTTTGATATTAACTTTCTTGTTCCCTGATTTGCTGTGTATAATGTGACTATAATAAGAATCTGACCAAGCAGTCCTTGATCCATGCACCGCAATGCTCAAGGTGATGCTTGAACATCCTCTTTGTATAGTGTGATAAGGTCCTCATCATTAAACAGCGATATTAAGATGCTTGAGGTGTGGTTGCTTTCCTCTCCTATATGAATGTGGCTGGTAGACGGTTCTCATGCTGTCTATTACACAGATGGTGTACCAGCTGTACCAGGGACAGGACTCAGAGTCCAGGAGTGTGGCCGACCAGTGGCTGCAAAGTCTCCAGAACTCCGAGCAGGCATGGAGCCTCTCCTGGACCCTTCTACAGCATCAGGTCACCCACCTCCCCATCCTACTAACTGTAGCTCTACTGGTTGAGAATTGCCTCCATTGGAACATCTGTATTAGTAGCTAGCTTATGTGTACCTTGGTTGAAATTGGCTGCCTGATAAACAGTCTCTGTGTAACACTGGCTACTGTCATCTGTATTAGCTAGCTATGTGTACCTTGGTTGAAATTGGCTGCCTGATAAACAGCCTCTGTGTAACACTGGCTACTGTCATCTGTATTAGCTAGCTATGTGTACCTTGGTTGAAATTGGCTGCCTGATAAACAGTCTCTGTGTAACACTGGCTACTGTCATCTGTATTAGCTAGCTATGTGTACCTTGGTTGAAATTGGCTGCATGATAAACAGCCTCTGTGTAACACTGGCTACTGTCACTACTGGTTGAGAATTGCCTCTATAATGGAACATCTGTTTAGCTAGCTACCTGTATTGATAATTTTGACAGAGGAGGAACTAGGGGGGAATACTATTTGCATTATTGGTAGTTCCCTTGGTTTAGTATACATTTCCTTGAAATTCCACTATATCGTGACGATTTTTTGTAAAGTTCCTAGTAAAGGACACACAGGCACTATAATGCATGCTGGGGGTTATAAACAAGGTTTCAGGTCTCATGCGTTTGTAGGAAGTTGCTGTGAGGAACTTTGGTGCACTCATGCTGCATAACAAGATATCTAAATCATGGTAAGATCGAGTAGTTTCACTGCACACATAAGCATGAGGTAATGAGAACTACTATATTGTATATGCACCTGGACATCCAGGGGTTTTTGTTAGTTCCCTTTTAAGTTCCGTCACATGCGTAGACTGGAGGTCAACGATGAATAGCATTACACTAGCTACAGGCTAATACAGGACGTTACGCAGCTGTGCTTTCGAGGCTCATGCAGCATTGGCAAGCGAGTGATAGTGTGAAATATCAGTACATGTGTTACGTAAAGCACACTTACTACATTATGTGATATCAGAACCTCTGGGTATTGTATGCTCTCTTCACTTGCCGATTATCCTTAGCACATGAAACTAAACAGATCACGAACTATGTACTTAGAAAAACAGAGAAAAACATGACTGCTAGCTAGGCTACATCATAATACTGCCGAAAGGTAAGGTTAAAACTTGTCTTAAGCCTTCTTTCCCATATTCCATGTGTTTCCACTAAACTCTGTGTGCATGCGTGCATGCGTGTGTGTGTGTGTATGTGTGTGTGTGTGCGTGTGTGTGCGTGGCTAGATGCAGGTGTCATCAGTACGTCCTCCTGTGTGTGCAGGTCAGAGCTGCCCAGAGAGCAGTACGAGGGACTGAGGGTGGAGCTATTCTCAGAGATAGCCCGCAGCTCAGGGCAAGGGCCGCGACTGGTCCTCATTCAGCTGTGTCGCTGCCTGGTGGCCTTTGCCTTCGCCACGGTCCCAGACATATGGCCCAACACTGTAGTCTCCATGGTGCACAGTCTTAGAGATGCCACTCGCTCCATACAGGTCAGCCCTATATACACACGTGTCATTCCCCTGCCAACACTGGATATCTATAGAGGATCAGGGACAAAACCCCCAAGGCAAATTGTCTAGAACATCAAATGTACTCCCTCTCTCTCTCCTGGACCCATATACTCTCTCCATAATCACAAAAATAAGAAGTGACCAAGTTGAAGCTCGGCTACAGTCGCATTGCAGCATAAAAAGGCAGGGCTACTGAGAGGTGGCCAAGTTTACTAACATACATAGTACCATCAGTTTCGTTGAGAGTCACTAGAAGTTGACGACTCACAGAGAGTAGCCATGGTATAATGTTTGTGTGTATAAATCTCTTCCTGTCTTCTTGCAGGATTCCGACTTCCCCACCTCAGTTCTGCAACTCCTCACCATTCTCCCCGAAGAGGTGAGCCACTCACCCACTCACTCGGCGGGTCCCTAGTAATTGTGGATGGGAGAAAGCAGCTTCCTGGATCTATAGAGTGTTAAGAATCAAACATCATTTTGTAACACGGGAGGTGGAAGTTTTCTTTCCTCCAATGCTACCCTGCAGCAGCAACGAAATACCCTCCATTTTTTAGCTGTTAATTTTTTTTAGGTCGGACTACAACATATTCTCATATATTCAGAAATGTGTATGTATGGGGTAGTATGTCCACTGTGCAGTACAGTTGTCCTCTGATGCAGTACGAGAGGACATCAGAGCAGATGGTGGCTGCCAAGAGGGGAGCTATACGGAGAGAACTAAAGAATGGTCTTCCCACTGGTAGGAGAGGGACTCCTATAATTACCTCCGATCATTATGTTGTGTGTACTGTACATCTGGAGCCATGTGCAGTATAGTAGTTAACCCTCGGCGTGCATGCGCAGCGAGGGTTATGGTACTTGGTCGGTAAGTTTGTCTGTCTGTCTGTTACCACGTTTTCTGCAACCACGCGCAACGAGACAACGAAAGAGCGATACCAAAAGGTTCAGCACTACACCGGCTTGATTTTAAATTTGGTGAATTTCGTAAAAGCAATGAGTTATGGCATGAAAACCAAGTTAACAAGCCAATATGCTAATTAGTATTCGCCTACCTCCACCGGATTTTGTTGCTGTTTATGTATATATGGAAGCATGCCATAAACGGAAGATGAGTGTCGAGTGCAGCGAAACCTAATAGCTAGTTTAGCTATCGAAAAAAATTAATCTAAAGGCTAAGTATAGTTAGCTCCAGCTGAGCGGGTATCCCGGCTGCACCAACCGCGGGTAATTATACCGATCCCTCTGCGCCTACGTATGTTACACTGGCGCGTGCGTTTGTGATTCCCATGTGTGTGCATCGAGCATGCGTAAACACTGAGCTCGGCTGTGGCTTTCCTTGTCCCGTAGAAAGCTACCCGTATAATGGATGCCAACTCTTAGCAAAGGTCTGGGTTAGCGCAGATGAACGCTAGCCTCGCACGTGTTTTACAGAGCCTTTTTTCCTTCAGCCCTTCAGAGCACACGCGCACACACCCGCATTAGCTAACAGCCCTTGTTCCCAGGTCTAACTTTGTTAATCAGTATCTCCGGCTTTTCAGGATACTTGTGATACTTGAGCCATTCATTCGTGATGGTGAAATTCTCAGTCCCGGAACCAAATTGTTGTAAAATTTGTCTGATTTCCGCGTGATCATGGTTGTGTTGTGTAGTTCAAAGTGAGGTCGGGAACCTCCAGCAGATATTGCACATCTCCACTACGGTATTTGGGGTTTAATTAGTATCCCTCCTTCCCCCACTCCCCCACTCCCCCCTCTCCCCCTACCACCCACCTCCCCACATCCACTGAACCAGTGCTATCTCTACTGGAGGAGGTGCTGGTGTCAGCTGGCTCTGATGCCGTCAAAATTGACGTGAGTCTCCGGATTACACACGACCACTCTAATGTTTGCCACCAATGACAAGTGTAGGGTTCCCTGCTAAATTATTCACTCATTGCGTGTTAAAAATGTCAGAAAGTCAAAATCTACTGCCAGTGTATCATAAAGAGCATGCATACAGGGTTCTCCTTCACTTACTAATATTTAATTTACCGTAAACTAGTTGGAGCTCTGTACTTTGACCTCTCTGTCTGTGCAGGCAATGAAGTGTTTCAGTAGCTGGGTTGAGTTTGGACTCCCCCTACCAGAGGTCCAGGGCTTCGTTGGACAGTTATTACAGGGGCTCGTCAATGACGAACTGTTCACTCAGGCCTGCAACACTCTGGCCGACATAGTGTCAAAGGAAGAATCCTTGAAGTATGTTTATGAGTGCAATCTACATACCATCCACTCATAATATGTATAGCTTTATCCAACTGTTTTTCTGCATTCATGAGGGACCTTTCAGCATGGGGTGCATACCGTCAGTGATAGGGCCATATACTACTAATCAATGGCGAATTGCTGTAACCTTCTTTTATAATATGTTGTGCTATACATTATTGTACTTTGTAGCTTTGCTTTTCCATCAGCAACCCACCAGACCAGTAACACGAAAATTGTACTTGTGTAGGAATGCTAAATATGTCCCCAGCGAGATTGGAGGAAACTCAATTAGCAAAATTACTGCCAGAATTCATATTTGTTGAGATAACTAAGTTAACCCTAACCCTGTTTGCATAATGTGTGTTATTGCAATTAATACAGATATCCCACTGCACTCCGCAATATTCTGAGACAGGTGACTAAACTAGGAGAGCTGTGTGAGAAGAAGCTTGGGAGTGGTGACAAGGTGGAGCTATACTATTACTCCCATGTACATATTCACCTTCAATGGTGCTCTATGCGTACTGTATTGTGGTTTAATATCAGAGCCTATACTATGCATACGTTGTATAGGTTTGATGATGGCAAGTGTGCTCTATGCGTACTGCATTGTGGTTTAATATCAGAGCCTATACTATGCATACGTTGTATAGGGTTGATGATGGCAAGTGTGCTCTATGAGCGTGCAGCTCGATCATCAAACCTACTTGGTATAGGTTCTCCCTCCAGCACAATGCCTGAATTCCCTATAAGGAAGGCAAAGTGGGTGCTGACTCCACCCTCTGCAGTTGGTGGTAGTACAGCTAAGTGGGTGCTACTACTGGCCAATAAATCAATGCGCCTTCTTAACTGCTAGTGGTGGAGGTATAGTGTTGAGCAAAGCAAGCCACCCCACAGAGCAGTTCGAGGTCATGCTTTTATTAACCCTCGGTGCGCATGCGCAGCGAGGGTTACAGTACTTGGGTCTGTGTGTCTGTGTGTCTGTTACTCTATATCTCACTCCTCGAACGTCTGTTCGTCCCAGGAACGATACCATCTACCCAATGGGCGACGAAGGTCAGAAAATAAAGGCGGTTTTCTCTGAAAATGCTCCGTTGCAAAGCTAGAGCGCGAAAAAGCCAATATGCAAATACACAACGGACGGGATGGCTTACCACAGTCGGATCGATCCGCGTGCTCTGCGTACTTCGGATTCACCAGAAGATGCAACGCAGGGCGTGTATCGCCTCTCGCATGCTATCTAGTAGTGTAGTTAGCCCGCGTCAGACTCTGCGCGAGCTGGCAAGAGACCACGAGTAACAGCTAAAACTAAACCCAGCCCATCAATTAGTGGTACGGCGCATGCGTTTACTTACGCGTGCGCGTCACAGTGCGCCGAGGGTTTGCACTTCAGTGCTTTTCATTCGTCAATTATTACTGTGCAGTATTACACGAAATACTGCAAGACTATTGGTTCTTGAAACTGAATTAGCACGTCATTATTATAATGTGCGTGCTGTATGTTAGGAGGAGGCGGCCACTCTGTGTAGAATGTTGGTGGAGGTGGTGAGTGGTAACATGAGTGTGCTACTGGAGGAGGTAGGGAGGGGGGAGGAGGGAGGGGAGGAGGGGGAGATGGGGGAGAGGAGAGGAGGGGGTGAGGAGGAGGCCGGTCAACTGGCTCTGGATGTGGTGGAGCAACTGTTGGTGAGAGATTGTTCCATGTTGCCATGTTTCTAATGTCTCCTCGTCTGGTGGCTATGCGTTCGAAGGAGAAACACTTTGCGAATTGTGCAGCTTGCAATCCGTCTGCGAAAGGTTGAGATTCTTGGAGGAGTATTGCAGAGATATCCATCCTTGTTTACTGTGTAAAGAGTGGTGTTTGTTATGAATCAAGAGTGGTGTTGTTATGAATCATAAAAATAAAAAAATTTCTCCTTCCCAACGTACTTTAGGTGGCAAATGGGAAGATGCAGAGATGTTGATACAGCATGTTGTCACATACGCGGAAACACTTTATGTCTAGTTCAGCTCCATTTGTAGGTTTATTGCAAGGTTGTCTCTTTAGACCCTCTCACTCTCTCTCCACTTGACTGGTGTATGTGTGTGTGTGTGTGTGTGTGTGTGCTGTGGTGCAGGGGTTCCTGTGTGTCCCTGGATACTACCCAGTACAGGAGATCTGCTCTGAGGTCACTTAGC